GATAATGTGTCATGGTGTTATTAATACAGGATTGGAACTAAAAATAACAACGGCTGTGGCATTTCCAAAAGGCCATGTTAATCTGCTTCTGCTGGAGTTTGCATATTTTGTGTTCGGGTAAAACAATGTGGCTCTCTCTAGTTTTCCTTCATGCATATCCAAATAAGTATTGTAATTGAAGTCTGACTGTCTCGTTCTGTTCACAGACCGCTGAGCTCTGTTATGATCTATTTCTATACATAGATGGGCACCACTGACTATCACAGAGGTAATAGGACACAGTAATGCCCATGTATTATTTAAGAATATAGTATTGGGCTGCAGATTTCTATTCAAGTTGGACTGATTATCTGAGGTGACTTATTATAAGGAATTTGCGGTGTCAATGCCAAGCTTCGTGGCTATTTGCTAACAAAAAACTATTTAGTATGTATGTGAATTTGAGATTCTGTATTATAAGAGAGATCTGAGCTAGTTGTCACGTGAAAAAACTACAGTATATCTATTGTGACAACATGCCCCTGTCGTGATATACTATATGGGGTAAGTTGTCACAGTGTATGGAACCTGACATTAAATAGCCTTTTTAAAGCAAGATTTAATAGTAAAACAATTAGGAAGTTAAGTGATTCATGAAACTATGAAAATTGAAAATGGAAAAGCTACCATAGAAACTAAAAAAATCAAACCGCTGTTTTAGCCAATGAATATTGTAATTAATAAATTGTATAAATTGATGACTGATAAAACACGACGACTTGCCACGACCTGACATTTCACTTGTTCACCCAACAACTATTACAAAAATAGGATATTCTAAAAAAAAATAAATAAATGTATATTATTTAAAATAAATAAATAAATATTTAAGAGGGTTTTGAACTACATGTTTGAAAGCAACATACAACTAGAGAAAACGCATTTGTGCAATTGGACATTTTTGCGATGTTTACTCTCTAGAACGTCATGTTTGGGCTGTTATCTGGCTTATTTAAAGGGGTCATATGATGCGATTTCAATTTTTCCTTTCCTAACACGCCCCCACATGTCTACGTCACGATGTGGGAATATTTGCATAACGCCACCCAAATGTTCACGCAAAGAAAGAAGGCATAATTTTTATTCTCGCTGTTGCCGCCGCCCATCATGTTGTGGAGTCGCTGTGTGTTTCGTTGTGAAAGCGAAACTACTTTGTTTGTCCTTCCAAAAGAGGACACAACTAGAAATCAGTGGTTAAGTTGTATTTGCAACACTGTTCCAGAACAGTTCAACCCAAATGTGCTGCGCATTTTATGGCGGATGAGGACTGTTTCCTGAACGAGTAGCCTACAATGCGTATGCTGTGGCACAAAGGCTGTTTCTATAAAGTTGGGCAGTTCCAACTTTGCAAGGACAGTCTGGCGCTTCTGACTCACAGCCTGCAAGTACGTTTTTTATATTTAAATAATTTTCCACTGATGATTCAAATGCGAGTTTTGAGCAGTGTAGAGTAGGCTTGTTGTTTGTTCGACACGTTTCAGAAAGGCGGGGCATAGAGGAGAAACAATAATGTACATTATATGGAAAATAATGTTTTTTTTTAACCTTAAAACACATTGCATTACACCAAATACACAAAATAATGTTCTTTTTAGCAACGTCATATGACCCCTTTATGCTCAGCTACCTCAACAATTTAGGTTGACAATTAAATGTCTCTGTTTCGCACTCTCCCTGACTACACTGACCATATAACATACACAGTTTCATACAACAGAACTGGGTTTTAGCCCATAGGCAAACACATGAGCGATGCAGTCAAGCAAACTGAATGCACAGATGTGTTTCTCTGCTGTAAGCTGCTATTCAGCATTATAATTCACTAGACTGTGTCACCGCACTAGTCTTTTGTTTATCCAGACCAGAAGTGCTGCTTTGTTTTATTGGCTGGATGTTTGAAGCGAGCAGAGAAGAGATAAGGGCAGAGCTGAGTCCTTGCTCTCCCCCCATGTTCCTCATGTATCTTCAGATGGGAGTTTATGAAGCTATGAAGTACAGATGTGTCTTTTTTTTAATCTTTTGATGTTTTATCCTCCTGGTCTGGGTCAGTCATGCAGTACTGTACCTTTTAAACTCCATAAGTTTAAATAATAAATATGCTTGGATTTGAATACATTGAAATGACCGTCAATAGAGAAAGATGCTTTTTCACTACAGAATGGTTACAGTATCTTGTGTAATGGACCTGTTTATGCTGTTGTTTAAAAAAAGAAAAAATGATGTCACTTCTGTGAGAATGACATCATAAAGGAACTTTTTTTCTTTTTTTTTTGGTTAAAGGGATTGGAAAATATTTTAGAGTGATTAAAACCATTAATTGTCACAAATTCTTTTACAGATACTACTTACAGATGTTTATACTGATTTTTTTCCCACATTTTTTTTTTACAAACGATTTTACAAAAGAGTAACAGAATTAAAATAACAATAAAAAAAAATATTTTTATTTAAAAAATATTTTCATATTTATTGTAATAATATTATAATAATATTCTGAAAGATATTTTTAGAGGAATAGTTTTAAAAACAGTTTATTTGAAATATTGCAAATAGAAAATTATTTTTCAAGATCTGTAATTTTATCAAACAGGACATCATATTTCAGAGTGATAAAATCCATTAAGAGTCAGTTCATCAAATGAATTGCTAATACTTACAGTACAGATTTTTGTGCTGTTGTTTTCCTACCAAAATGATGTTACGTTCTAGAAGATGACACCATGAAGAAACTGTATTTTATATTTTACAAAATATTAACAGGGTGGAAATTACAATAAAAACTAAAATAAACAAACAAACAAACAAACAAACAAACAAACACCTTATTTATAAACACCTTGAATATTTTTTTAATAAATAGCCAGTTTTTAATGATAAAAGTTTATGTGGGCAACATCCACTCAAACCAAAGTCGAGTTATTTAAAATTCAAAACCAGTAATTATAATTAAGCTAATGTGATTTTTTTTTGTACTTGTCAGTTTTTATTCAATATGTTAAGACAAGATGAGGACGTGAAAATGTGTTAGGAATAGTAGGAATGGCCCGTCTGCTCATACATGGAGAGCAGAAGAACAAACAGGAACTGCAGGTTTAAGCATGAAGCCACATTTATCTCTCTCCTTTACAATGAGTGATGAATTAGGGGAAGTGCCATAATCTAGCAAGGCCACTTAAGGCATCCCAACATATACCCATGCAAAGTGCTTCAGACACGAGTGTCAGTGAGCACGCAGCCCTCTGTCTCAGTCACACACACACACACACACACTTCCTCATGGCACCCATAGAGGACAGAAATGGAGATGAATGGAGCCCCAGCCACCAAAGTAATCAAAAATGCATTTTCCATATCTCGGTAATTGAATTGTGTACAAGCTGCAAGTTAATGAGGTCATCTCCCCTCCAGCTCTGACAGGAAAGCAGAAATAATTATCTCCCCATTTTTCCTTATGTAGCAATTAATTTGAACCATTGGCAAGCGACCGCCGCCCTCTCCCCGCACCTCTTATTTCTCCTTCGTGCCAGTGCGACCGCTACTTTCTCTCCTGCTCATCCCCCTCCCCCCAGCCTTTTCCCCCGTGTTTCCCTTCCTGCCTCTCATTCTCGCTGCTTGAGTGCCTTCTGGTAAAGGCTGAGAGGAATTGACAGCCGATTGATGTGAGAGAGACCCGGTGGGCGGCTCGGGGCCGACATGGGCGAGGCAGGCAATCAAGGCCCTACAGCTGTTATGAGGCTGAGAGGCTTCCAGGTGACTGTCACCTGAGATTTCACATGCTGGCACTCGTCGAGCACTGGGGGCGTGAGAGATGTGCCAAAGGGGCATCTGGTTCCAGGTGGAGAATGAGGAGGCCGGGCCGGCACTGATTTTGTTTGTCTTGTGCCGCATTGAAGAAGGATGAGGAACATAGCAAGAGTTTGAATTTGAATGACAGATTCTAGTCAGGCTATGCATTCTGGGAAATGAAATGTTCGACTGTGTTCCACCCTGGCCTACAAAAATATCTATCTGTCTGTCTATCTGTCTATATGTCTTGTCTGTCTGTCTAGAGTCCGACTCTCTAACCGTTAGGCCATAACCACTGCATCTTGTGCAAATCCAGTTCAAATTCAAAGGCATTAATTTCAGTTAAATTCAAAACTTTTTCACACAAGCCATAATTTATCCTGGGTTAAAATGCACACTGTATATTTGTTAAATCTGGGTTAGCATTATTATTTGCATATTTATGAACTTATTTAATGAAGTCACTGTTTAGTTTCTAATTGGTTGATAAACAACTCTGTGCTGTTCTAACACTGCAAAGTTGAATACCTTTAGCACTGTTAACCGCTAGTGTTGTAAACCCTACAATGGAATATGGTTTTATAAGCCAGAGTGCTAACTGGCTTTCAGAAATAGAAGTGTGAAACATTACTTTACTAAGGGTTAGAAGCCAAGGGCTAAGCATGGTGTGAAAAGCCATGAAGAGGGTTAAAGAAGTGTGGAGTTAGAACCAGTTAATTTGCAATAAGTGGGTTTTTTTTGTCACAATTAAAGGAGGGACAGATATTTATTTTTCAATTATCGTTATTTATTTCCTTATAGCTACTTTTCTCCATTCATCTCAACCACGAAATCCCTCCATATGCTCTGAGCTTTGGTAACTGCTGTCACTCAGTCCTTGAGTGTCTCTGTGGCGCTCCAATTATACGATCATCTGCAGTCATATCAAAGGGGCTGTCAGTGCTTTGTCTTTCATCTTCAGGGGGTTCTTTCTGAAGCCAAAAGGATGTCCGCTCACATGACTGACAGCTACTTTATCTAATCTCTGACAAATAGTGGCTTAATAAGCATCCTTGGCCAGGAGCGGCCACAGAGGATATGTCAGTAATTGGGGTAACGGAGGAGGTTGGCAGATTTCATTGACCTCTGTCCTTCATTAAACCGTTTTCCTTATCCAGCTAATATCATGTCTCAAGTGAGCCCCTCCACCCCCCAAAAAACAGACAGTTTCCCATTGAACCTGAGATCTCACCTCAGTGGAGTGACACCCTGCCGTGTTTTCTGTACATCCTTGAAAATTAGGCCTAATAAGTCCTTTGCTCCTGTTTGGAAAGAGAAATGGCCCTCATTACCACATCTTTTCCTCTGTGGTGTTGATTTACACTGAGCGCCGGTCAGCCGATAGGCCTGACCGTTTACCATTGTGTCCCCAGCAACCCTGACACTGTTACTCCTTTGCCGCCGCCAACAAATTAGAATTATGAATTATTCAGCACTTGAAAGAAGTGTTTGTTATCCACGAGCATAATGAAAAGGAAATGTGCATTCGTCCTGAATTATTGTAAATTACTGACTATATGGGATTACCTTTCTGCCTCAGTAGTTGCTGAAACCAATTCACCTGCTTAGGAGAAAAAAAAACACACAGATGGAGGAGGTTGTGACATCATAGTAAACGAGAATTCAGAAATATGCTTTTGATGTTCAGTGATGCAGTAACTGAATTCATTCATTTGATCACGCAAACTGGGACGTTCTCATACATGTAACTGCTTAATCTGTTCATCCTACCAAGTAAACAAAGATGTTTTTCATCTGTTTTAATGAAGGACGAATGTGTCAAACCCTCAAAATGAAATATTGTAACGTCAACTTAAAGGGGTAGTAGCCTATAGCAAAAACAAATTCTGTCATTATTTATTATTTACAGGGTTGTAAGGAATTTAACAATTCCAGTTCCTACTTGATGATTCTTTTGAATTCGAAAAAGGAATATTTGGGACTAATTAGGCCTATTACATTTTAAAATTAAAGGGGTCATATGACGTTGCTAAAAAAACATTTGGGCGGTGTTATGCAAATCTTCCCACACAGTGATGTAGATATGCGGGGGCGTGTTTGAACTAGGCGTTTTAGGAAGGCTTGGCTGAGTGTTCACTTTTATAAAGAATATCTTTTTGGGTTTGAGACTTTAATCTTTGCGACTTTATTGATCTTCTGTATGCACGAACAGCTTTTAACACTCCAAAGACAAAGGAAAACATGAAATCGCATCATATGACCCCTTTAAAAAAATTATATGCTAACATTATTCAATCTTTTACTTTTTGTAAAATATCACCAACAAAACTCATAATGTGGCTATATTTAATTGCTCATTGTCATATTAACAGCAAGTCTGTTCTTGATTAATTTAGTCTGACATGATTAAGAAAGTAAATCAAATTAATTGAGAGACTGCTCCAATCATTTCATACTTGTTTGTGATTCACTAAAAATAACTGATTCATAAAAGTATTTCATATGGGATTTGGACTTCTCTTGTAGCCTACATATGGTTCTCCACTTAACTACTAAAGTCATTGCATGGTTACGTAATGACGTAATAAATTAGTAACACTCGTTCAGCTGTTTACAGTGTCACTTGTTTCCAAACCTTGATAGTGTAGCTATTAATGGCAGTGAAAATATTTAGCCTAATATATTTAACATATCTCACAGAGAGCTCTGGTTTGTTCTGATGTTATGCAGTGCATAATACATAAACCTTGTGTTTCCTCTCAATTTTAAATATTTTTTTTTGATAATGAGGGGGATGGAATTGGGCTTAGATCCTCTACTCCTGTGGATAAGAACTTGTTTTTTTGAGGTCAAAGCATTCTATAAGCCAATACATCTAATGTTTTCTCACATCTGCCAATTTGTTTTCCTACATTTTGGACTATGGTAATCAGGGAGGAAGAATTCTGACTTTAGCGAGAGGGACTTCATTTTCCCTTCCATTCCATGTCCTGTCTATCAAGATGTGGTCTCCAACTCATCTACGTATCATTATATGTTGCTGCATGTCACGCTTATTTTCCTCACATGCCATTAGGGCCGGAATGTGGATTGCAATAATAAGAGACAGCGGTGTGTGTGTTTTTGAATCTGAGTAATGTACACAATGCTAACATTAGCTGTGCTGGATGTGCGTATGAATGGTTGAGCAGGAATTGCTGTGATTTGAATGACGTTTGGCATTATGTGAAGTGACACAAGAAGGTGATAACCCAGCTAAATGCTTGCTTTTGTTCGGTGTTATTCTAAATGAAACTAACGACGTCTCAGTGTCATTTTGTCATGGCTCTGGCGTTCTCTGCTAGCAGTGACATGAAACTCTATAAGACAGTGTATTAGAGCAGTGTTTCTCAACCAGGGGTCCGTGGACCCCTAGTGGTCCTTGACATAAGCCAGGGGGTCCGTATAAAGTATGAATTTTTGTATAAATGTTGTATATTTTGACATGACATGTTCCCATGAAAGAAAAATCCAATATGGCTGATGATATGGCCAAATACTGGACAAGTCAGCTAACTTGAATTATACTTGACTGCATTTGGTCCTCACAAAGACACAAATGATACGAGTCAATTTTGTTCTGGGGGTCCTTGAGGATGGTTCTGAATTGGACTGGGGTCCGGTATGCCAAAAGGTTGAGATTCACTGTATTAGAGCACACGAGGAAGATTGGCTGAGGGAGAAAATTGAGTTTGCTAAATTCCCATGTCTGATAAGTAATTACATGGCAATTGTTTTGGGTTCTGAGTTCAGCTTTTGCTAGCGTACTTTTAAGTACCTTTCAATGAAGATCTCGTTTTTAATTTGAAGGCTTTATCTAATGCACCCTAAGCTTTTACCACTGACATTTTTACTGGCTAGAACTGGATCATGAAGCCCATCAAATAGTCAGTCCTTAAACTCTGAAATTCTGTTGAAATAAGACGAAAGTCTGACTGAAGATACCGGTTTTAACCTTCTCCGATTTAGAAGGAAGAAACCTCAACTTTGGTCCCTTGACAACACTAATTCAAACTGCAATAAGATGTACAAGGACATCAAATGAAGACCCATTAGATCCATCTGTGGGTTGAAAATTAGGCCTGGGAAATTATATCTGACATGAAGCATAATTACCTTTAAGTGAAAGTGAGCATAGATCACAGGTTTCCTGTTGAGGACTCGTAATTCATCTTGCAGTCACCTATTTTTTTAAAGACTCAACAAAAGATTGGCATCAGGTGTCAGTGCTAATGAATAAGTGTATAATAAATGTCTTCGTTGACTGGCAGAGGCCAGGAGGATAAGCTGGCTTTGGAGCTTCACAGAGCGATTCAATTCAAGTAGTTCTTGAATTGGAAATTGCACTGCAATTTTGTTGCTACACTGTTAGCTTAATGTAAAGTGGCCCCAAAAAGTATTTGGACACTTTTGGGTACCAAAGCAAGACTTAAAATTGTCTGAATGTCATAAAATATCAAAACAAGTGGCATCTGCAAAAATGGCTTTTTCCTCAGAACTGACTTCACTTTTCTTAGCTGGTTAGTGGATGTGTGAAGTCATGTGTGAAAAACCTAACAAAATTTTTGTAAAAATAATTTGCTTGAAAAACTGTATTTCTTTAAAATACTGTTAAAAGTATTTTCTGCACCAGACAGTTCAAATCTGATATTGCTGTGTTTGTGTGTTCCAGACACACTGTCAGTCTGTGTAGGCTATAGTTACAGGGATTTTCAGTACTCTTTCACTGTAAATGACTTATGAGTGAGACGTTCATCAACAGATGCGTTCAAAAAGCTAGTTCATTGTCTTTACAGGGGACAATGCTGATTCTTTCAGGAGCGATCCAATTAGCGATCCAGTGAGTCATTGCGTCATTTACTCAACCGATTCATTCAAATACACTGATTCATTCAAGAATGCCACTACTGTGTGTTGCTTGGAGTCGTGCAATGGAAAGTTATGACATAAATATAGAAATAGATGGGAAATATTGTGCCTAAAATGCAAGTTTCTCAATATTTTAACTTGGGTATTGAACTGTTGTATAATAAATCAATATAACATTCATATTTGAATTGATTACTTACTAATATACAGAACAGCTGCTATCTTGCTGATGTTAAATTCTCAGTGATACTTTAATATTATTTATATATATATTATAGTATTTATTAATATTTTGAATTTTGCTTTTATTTTTCATATTTTCAGTTTACATTTTAACTTTTGTTCAAGCTTTATTAGCTATGTTATTTTATTAGATTTTTTAAAATATTACCATTCATGTTTTTATTTCAGTTTTAGTAATTTCAGTACTTAATTTAGTCAACTTTTCTAATTTTAGTTGAAAATTTTCTTAACTGAATTTTAATCATTTCATCTAATATTTATATTTTATTTCAGTTATATTTTAATTGACAAAAAAACAACAACATTTTAATAGTTTTAGTTAAAGATAAAACTTAAAATCTTTATATCTTTGCATTATACTTAAGCAAATTTTTAAGTGTGACTGAAGGGTCCAACTAGTTTTCAGGACCAATTTAAGTTTGTTATTTTGTGAGAAATTCATAAACTGCTATTTTAAATTTTTAATTCTGAGGATATACTAGACAAACACGCATGCGTTACCCCCATCCACAGCTGGGTCAGGTGTAAGTGCTGCTTGAACAGAGACTGAAGTCTTTTCCAGCTCCATTCTCCTCCCATCTCTCTCTCCAACCCATGGGCACATCTTTTCTTGCATCTTTCGGCACAGAAAAAGGGCTTGAGGCGGAGAGGGTCTGTAGGCCTTTCCCTGGAGATGCGGGAGCCCATCTGTGTGTGCCACTGAAGCTAAACTAGCGACGGGCACGACTCCTCCTCAGAGAGCCCCCCTCCCCCCGCCCCAACTTCTACCACAGACGGCAGATGGCGTGCAGCCTCCTCGTTCCTTTGCCATGTTTGTTTAATACATTTAATTAATATTCTAACTCAATAGAGACCCACCACAGACCCTCCCTCCAGCCTCCTTGTCGTGTCATCCATCGCCATCTCTCATTGCTCTTCTTCTCCTTCTGGACTCTCCACTGCTCTTTTATGATGGACAGACTGGCATTGGACAATTATACACACAAGAGGCTAACAATGCCCTAGAGTGGTCTATAAATGAAAAGCTCCATGTGTTTTCTTGTAGTGTCGGATGTATTAATCACATGCTGCCCTCAGGACACGTACAAGACCCCCTGAGAGCCTCTTGCATCAATACTAACCGGGGCATCCTAATGCATTGGTTAACCAATATAATGCTGAGGAATTTTTCCAAGTTTCCCTTGGGTGTCAGTGGCCTAAAATGTAATAAAGCTGTGCTTAAAATGCAGTTTTGAGCCGAGAATCTCCTTAATGTAATTTTGACCAAAGGCCAGTTTACGCAAAAGTCGGTTGTGGCTTGTTATCCCATGATTGGGACCAAAGGGAATAGCCGTCATTTTAATACTCTGACAAGTGCTTCTCTACAAGAGCTAGGGCAGATTTGAAGTGGTCCAAATTGGCAGACACTGCTATTGATAAAAGGTCAAAAGATCTTCATTGTGTGATTCTTGCTCCCTAAAATCTATCTCTACTGACACCCAACACTCATTTTTCTGTTTTATACACATTAGCACACTTTCAATATCCTGTAGCATTTTATTATCAGCTAAAAGTTTGTTCATATAGTGTGTGTGTGTTTGTGTGTGTGTGTGTGTGTGTGTGTGTGTGCGTTAAATTGATCAAATTGACAGTAAAATGTTACAAAAGAATTGGAAAAAATAATATTTCAAATAAATGGCGTTCTTTTGAACTTTCTATTCATCAAAGAATGCTGGGAAAAAACACTGTTTCCACAAAAACATTAAGAACAACCATTTCAACAGTCATGATAAAAAGAAATGTTTCTTGAGCAGCAAATCAGCATATTAGAACGGTTTCTGAAGGATCACTGAAAACTGGTGTAATGACTGTTGAAATTTTTGCTTTGAATCATGGGAATAAATTACATTTTACAATATATTCCAGTGGAAAATAGTTATTTTAAATTGTAATAATAGCCTATTTCACAGTATTACTGTATTTGCTGTATTTTTCATCAAATAAATGCAGCCTTGGTGAACCAATAGACTTTAAAAAAAACTTGAATGGTAGTGGTTGTGTTTATATGAAATATTATTTATTTAAATATTTAATTTAAATGTTCATCATCTCATATCCCGTCTTTATTTTATTTTATTTTATTTTTTCGAGAATTGTCTGTGTGTGTGTGTGATAAATCATCCAAGGATATTCTTGATTAGAAAACAAAATATTTACATTTCTTTAAAAATGCAAAAATTAGCAAATTTGCAAATTTGGGGGGGGGGAATCGTTGACTGTTGTTGACTTCAGTAACTCCCTTCATTTTTAAAAACTGCTTCCGGTGAATAAGATAAATGTCTTATCCCTTTAAAAACACTGGTATCACGATTATATCACACTACCAAAAAATATGATATATAAATAATCATAAGCGAAGATGGTGTTGATGACAGCGTTAATGACGTTAATTGCGAGCAACAAAAGGAACAGCAGTCAAATAAAGCACATCTGTTTAATTGAAATCATCCAAATTGTCTTTGTGTAATAATGAAGATGTTAGTGGAAAACGGACTGTCTGTAATCTGTTTACAAGCACTGAACTGGGAGACCGTCCAACGCCTTAGGGTAGCTCTAACACAACACTGCTCTTCCCCACCAGTTTCACCCAGATGTACATGGCTCATTTCTCTATCAAACAAGAGCATTTACATACGCTGAGCAGGACGTGAGCAAATCAAAAGTGTCATTAGCATATGCACCACGGGCTCATTTGACTTGCTAACGTGCCAGGCAGGGATTTTGCCACTATGGATACGTTTCTCTCTTTTCACAAAGACAAAGGTTATCTGACATGTAATCCAATTTGGAGTATCCTTGGGGCCTGCTTTATTTAAACAAGGATCTGGCTTTGGTTAGACTGAAGCTGGTTTGAATATTTTAATTGATTTAAATCATGTAGCACAATGGTACCAAAAGAATCCATCTTTGTTTCCCTCCCTAGAAAATCACCCAAAACAATTTTAGCACAAATTTTTATCTGTATGCTGCTTTTGTTAGGTTGTAATCTGCTTTTTTTGCAGGACATGCCAAGTGATTTTCTTCCAGGCCATGTTTAATTGAAGACTTTTTGTCACTAAAATAATGCACCTATTTATTGAACTACATGCTGACACACAACCCCATACACATCATGCATATTTGATCTACATTCACTCACTGCTAATTTTATGACTGCAGCACCAGATTTTAGTCAGCACTCACATAAAGACTAATACTGCCACCATGCGGTTAAGCAATGCACTTGGGCATTGCTGCATTGTTTATTAAGAATGGCAGTTATATATTTTTCTATGTGCAAAGACTCATTTATTAAATGTGATATTACGAAGAAAATGTTGTTTTAAAAAATTAAATAATTTGATATTGTCACTGTCAAAATAATTTGACAGTGACAAATAACATTTTATTCTATAAATAATCTTAATATAAATACAGTATTTTATATGAGGTTTTATTTTTATATGAGGTGTTACGTGTATATTTTTTCTACTCATTATTGGAGGATTATTAGATATAGTACAGTTTAAACCTGAAGATACATATTTGTTTAATATCAGTTCAATTTAGATTAATTTGTATAGTGTTACAGTTATGGACTTTTGGTTGTGTTTCTCTCTGTTCCTGTTCTCCTGCCTTGTTTAGTTCCGTTGCCCTAGTTTCTGTTCAGTCCTGATTTGTTTATATGGTTACTTATGATTTGCAGTTGTTATTCATTCCTTAGTCTCTTATTTAAACTCCCTGTTCTGTTCAGTCGTTGCTGGTTACTTTATCATTGTGTGTGTTACGTTTGCTCCTGCGATTCTCCTGTGTGTATTCCTTGTGGATTTATAATTAAAAGACTATTTTTGGATAATACTCCTTTGTTGTGTGCTTTAAATAGCACAACACATTACATATGTGACCCTGGACCACAAAACCAGTCATAAGGGTCAATTTTTCGAAATTGAGATGTATACATCATCTGAAAGCTGAATGAATAAGCTTTCCATTGATGTATGGTTTGTTAGGATAGGACAATATTTG